AAAGCATTTTACTGCTGTCAAGTCCTCATTACCGAGAATAGCATAGGAAAAACATCCTGTTTAATATTGATTGTTATCACAAAGTTATATTGCAGTGAATGTGTCATAAATATACACTCAAGTTGTCCGCCAAACAGGTCTCTTAGTAACAATAAATAAAATGAGATTATGGTTATTCTATGATTGATAAATGGCTCAATGTCAATTTTGGAGAGTACCAAGGGTGTTGTGTAGTCTAGACATGAATTGTTGTCAGAATTTGATGTCTAGTCAGAATTTGATATTGAGTTGCTTGTTCTTTTAAAGACAGGTTTTATCGTTGCTTATTTTTAGCTCAATTATTTGTTGTTTTTATTGTTTTTGTTATTCAAAGAAAAGAAATAGACATTGTGAGTCATGTTGAATAATTAAGATATGACCTTGACCTTTAAATGACATTTACTGTTAAGGGCAGGTGATTGACTTTTTCAAACCCTTGTTTCTCATTATAAATCAAGTCAAATGAAAGAAAAATATTTAGCTTGAATTTGCCAGAAGGTTGGTTCTTCTAACAAAGTGTGATTGGACACATCAAAAAGTGTGGTCCTCTGTTGTCAATTTTATTGAAACATTACTTTAAATCTCTTATCTCTCTGATAATCAATGAATAGTTCGAAGTTTAAATCAGGACTTGTAAATTGCTTTAAATCTTTTGCGAGGGGTTAAAGAGCTAGTAATAAGAATGTATGCGTTTATGATTTACAGATTCAAGCAATGCCTGCTGGTGTAGATAACTTAATGCTTGTAAGTCAAGAGATCAAGCAGAGAACATTCGCTACAGCAAACCAGGGTGGTGGAGGTGTCGACTCGTCTGGCAAGAAATGGAAAATCGGAGAAATGGAGTTTGAAGCTCAGATAAGGTTGATGGATAATGCTGTAAGTTTGACAACATATTTAAACTTCCGATGTTAACTTTATTTTACAGGGACAGTGGTTACTATTCGTACCATTATAAGCTGTTCCAGATCTTGTCTGAAATGATACACATACACCAACGGAGGATTTTCAAAGGGCAACTGAGGACGTCTTCTAATGGCATTTGAGGACGTCTTCTAATGGCATTTGAGGACCTTTAAATGGCAACCGAGGACTTCTTCAAATGGCATTTGAGGAATCTTCTAATAGCATTTGAGGACCTTTAAATGGCAACCGAGGACTTCTTCAAATGGCATTTGAGGACCTTTAAATGGCAACCGAGGACTTCTTCAAATGGCATTTGAGGATGTCTTCTAATGGCGTTTGAGGACCTTTAAATGGCAACGGAGGACTTCTTCTAATGGCATTTGAGGATGTCTTCTTATGGCATTTTAGCACCTTTAAATGGCAACTGAGGACTTCTACTGCCTATAAAGCATTATGAACTTATTTTCACTTCAAATTTATAGTGTGTTGATACATCTTGTTGCATAAGGGAATTTTCTAGTAAATTTATTGTAATGTTCTGCCAGTTTTCTCTGGCACAAGGCAATAATTATACCTCAAATGACCTTGCCTGTTTCAACTGCCATATACTCATCATTTTTACGATTCATAATATAACTGTATGATATTACAATATTACTCTCTTATGGGTCTGAAAATAAGCAGACATGGCAAAATACTCTGGCATGCTTCTAGAAATAGTCATGGGAAATCACCGGTCTGCATGGAATAGAAACTTGTCAAAGTTTCTTGTAATATAGACCCGCATTGCTAAAGGAAACTTGAAGAAAATCCACATTGAGAATTTCTTATTGATATTTCTAGATAAGGTTTGTTATAATGAAATACTTATCAGATCCCTCTGAGGGTGATAGTGCAAAATGTTAATCTAAAGAAGTTAATGTTTTTCTCGATTCACACCACTTTAGACATTACCTTTCTTTGGTTAATATTTTGCTCTTGTTTCTAGGAAGCATGTGATTTTATACTTTTTATTTTCATTTTTTCCTGACTAAAGGTCTCATAAATTGTGATGCATTGATGAATTGGTGAACACCTTTTTAACCCATTACTTCATATAGACGCCTTTTAGCGCCTTTTTCAACCCCCCCCCCCTTTTGTTGTCTCAAATGATGAAAAAATGCCTTATTTAGGCCCCAAACACTTGTTTTTGTTTGAGAAATGTTGTTAAAAAAAATGACCTCTTTTTCGGCGCGGCCCCCCAGCCAAAAGATACATCAGGGGGTTGCCAGAAGGGGGTTGTGCCCCCTTCTGTTTGGGGGGGGTTTGAAGGGGGGCGGAAATATCAAGTTTCAGGGTGTTTTGAAGACAACAACAAGTGCAAGATACAGATACCTAAATTTGGATTTTTCAATCAACTTCAATCAATTTTTTCTTATAGATTCTAATTTACATGGCATGAATTGTTATATATATTGCATTATATTTTGATATTTCAACCCTGCATATACATGTACCATCAAGCCCAATAAGGCCATTATTTTTTGATATTTCGGTTTACTGACCCGCCGACTCTGTATTTTGGGAAAATGAAAAAAAAAAAAAAAAAAATCTGCCCCCAAAAAAATTCTGTGTTGTCTTGAAATATGCTGCTAATAATACGACTTGTCAAAGAAACGTCGCAGTAAGTATTTAAATTAACTGTTAAACCTACCATATGCCAGACTATTTTACATACGATTTATACAGTGAGATACACAACCGGTTATCTTTACTCAAGAACTGCTAGTTGGGGAAAGTGTTTATTGGTGTATTAAGAAAGAATGTCTGTTAAATGGGTCAAGCCATTCTCACAGAATTATAATTAGGCTTTGATCATATATCATCAATGCATTTAAGGTCCAAATGCATAAAAATGTAAAAAAAAAAAACAACTACAAAAACAAACAAAAAAAAAAACACGCCAAATTATGTAAGCAATTACATTCAATGACAGAGCAAGAGAAATCTGCTGCAAGATCAGTATTTTCAGATTTAACAAAAAAAAATTAGTCTTTAAAAGCAGATTGAATACAGGTTTTCAAACAAACAAAATAAAAAAATGCACTTACTATTAATAGATTTTTATGTCATTGTATGTCAAAAATTGACCCGCTTATTATCCGATAAAAATATTTTCACAATGGGCAAGAATTGAACATGTGTAATCTTTTCTTGACAGTTTTTTTTTAGTCAGCTGAGTTTCGGCACCTTTGATGATTCAGATTACACAGCAGTGTGTAAACATCAAAGAATGACAGATTCTTTTGAAGGGCTGGCTTGCCACTTAAGCTTGTCATAAGTATTCATGTGTGTTTTTAAACAATGGCAATGTGAGCAAAAGTGTTTTTTTTGTGTATTTAGACAATCTTTGGAATAAACAATCAGCGATGTATTTAATTTCATTGCTCTAGTAAGTACTATGTATATGTATGCACCACATATATAGTTATGAAAACTTTTTTTTTTTTTTCCCGCCGCCGACCCTACCTTTTTTTGGAAAAAATCAGTAAACCAAAATATAAAAAAAAATTGGCCTAATGGTATTAATCATGCTAATATATTTTTGTTTCAAAGTTTGTTCCATAAATTTGGTATCAGATATGCATGCCATTTCTAAAGATTTCTATACATGTATACATTTTGAGGCACAGTGAGCCTTTAAGGTAGCTCGCTACTTTCCGACCGAAATTTGACAACGTCTCAGATCTTAGTGATTTCTGGTATGCAAACATATAGATATGTGAGCTTTACTTCATCAGTATTATTTTGTAAATAAACAGCGTTACTATGACGTCAAAGCGCCCTCTATCGGTGGCGGCGAAATTGCGTCTTTTTATCAGTAAACTAGTCTGTTTTTATCAATTTTCATCCGATTTCCTTCGTTTTCATTTTATAATGTTCAGTAAATGTATGTCTTTGTAATGATGTCTTTCTTTAACATTTACTTAATAGTGTCCGATTCTACGTCATTTTTCTCTACGTTCTGACGCCCATATTTGATGCAAATATGCGCGATATTTCAATGAAGATTGTGTAATAAAAAAAATTCAACACGGTGAATTTTGCTATAATTTTCCGAGCGTGTAGTGAGATAGTGAAGGAAAATATTTATGCAATAAAAATATAGGGTCAACGCGTAAGATATTTTGCTAATACTGTTTTAAAATAAAATAAAGGGTGAGTGAAACGTAATGGTTTTGGTGACGTTAATAGATGTTGGAGTTCAAAGAATAATACCAAATAACAATTTTCTTACGTCAAACATTATGATAGTAAGTATAAACAACACATGGAATTGATGTAAGGTATATTTTTTTAATTGTTGATTATTTTCTCATTGAAAGCAAGCGCTAGATGAGCACATTCAATCTGACAATGCCTTTTTAAATACTTTTCTAATTTGCAGGACACAGTCTCATACATCTTTTAATTTTAATTTTATAATTTGATGTTTGTAATGAAAGAGTGAAAAGTGTAATATTATTATATGAATTAACTAGTTTCAACGCAAAAAATAAGATTCACATATTGCTGTATGAATGAAGTAGAAGTAAGAATATTAGGTCGCCTAGCTTATACCGTTAGAATATTTTTTTTTAATGCGTTTATTTAAGGTCGCCGCCGAAAAGCCCTTATGGGCGACCGTACACTCAACTCGGGCCATTCTAGATCGTCCCGCCCGAGATTTTTTTCGTCGATTTTTTCCAGCATTATTGGTGGAGGAAGACTCTAGGTGCCACTTCGGGCATTCTTTCAGGCACGAGCTGGCACCTGGGTACAACCACCGACCTTCCGTTAGCCAGCTGGATGGCTTCCTCACATGCAAGATTTCGACCCGAGTGAGTATCGAACATACAGCGGTGAGGGACCTGTAATCTCAAGTCAGCGACCTTAACCAGTCGGCCACGGAGGCACCCGAATATATTTATTTTACGTTACATTCAGCTTTTAAACACTTTCATAAAATCACATACAGGCAGACGAGCCTCGGTGTCAAAACACATCGTAAAAATGCAATTAAAATAGATATGCATACAAATGTGCCGAAATAAGTGATAAATAAAATTCAGAAATAATATTCAAATATGTAAAAGGGACTCCACTGAGAGTTTTTGACATGATGGAACTGAAAATATTTTTTCCAGATAAATTTACCATTAATTTTGATGTAGGTTTAGACCATTAATCTTTGTGCAACATTTCAGAGCATTCGCGCACTCTGTTTTTCCAGAATAATTATTCAAAAATGACCCAAAATGAAAAATGTTTAAACGCTTTTCACCCAAATCGGGCTAACAAAAGCATAAAAATACGATTTTCAATTTATTTCAAAGTATATTTCTTAACTATCTTCGCATATATTTCTGTTTAAAGTGCCCAGCTCATTATGTAAGAAATTCAAATGTTATGTTTTTGGCTTTTCAACCTCAGTGGATTCCCTTTAAGAATATTTAAAAACAAACTGTACAAGAAACAAAATCATTTATTTTATTTTTATTTTTGCTAACCTGTTTTAAGTCTGTGCAATACATAGATTATATTATTATAATCTAATTAAAATGTCATGATAATAAGAAAATGAGCACTGATGTGACAAACTAAAACATTTGGAAGCAAAAATCATACTGAATAAATTTTTTTTTTAACATATTCTCAACTGCAGACTCGAACACCCAATATAACCATAACTCAACTCGGATTTACGTATACCTTTTTCATTACAGTATAACATAGCCGCCCTCAAAATATTATTTATTTCTAAAGAGTTCCACTACATTTTACCTCTGTAGAGCAACCACTCTAGGCAACAAATTCTCTGTAGAGGTTATACTGTATATATTAATTAAATACAAAATATAATTATTAAATAACTTGTGCAACTTTTGTTACCACTGAATACGAATAATGTATTATGTTGACGTTATCGTGTTCATTTTTTTAATACAATACAG